CTCGACATTGTACATCCACGAGAGCAGGCCCCCATGGCACTTTCAATGGCGGCTCCACACCATCAAAATGGGCACCAAAAGCGCATCAGCCTCCATGCTACCACAGGACCGGCCAGTAGCACGCCGTCATCTAGCGACCCCGGCAGACAGACGACCCATGCTGGCAACGAGGCAGGCCACCAGAGGTACGGCTAGCCACACTGGCAGGCAGGGATGCTGGCCGCTCACCGGCACAGGCAGGGTGAAGCCAGCCACCTCAACGGTGGCCGCCCCTATCCATCTGCAGCATGGGGCGGCCCACCGAAGTCCACGATGCCCCGCTGAGGTCGCATACCGCATGAGCCACGACCAAAGCCAGCACTTGGGAGCAGCTACGTCCTCCGACGACTGGGGAGAAGGCTGTGGCCAATGTGTCGCACCGGAGGTGACCTCCCGGATGACGAGCGAAGCCGTGCAGGGGGCGCACCGACTGGACTGCCGCGTTGAGGACGCATGGCGCACGGGCTGCGACCAAAGCTGGCGATGGGGAGCGGCCCTGTCCTCTGGCGGCTATGGAGCCGGCCGCGGCCAACGCGTCGCACGTAGGTGACATCCCGAACCCCACGCGAAGCCGTGCAATGGGGCGCATCGACCGGCCGCGCGCATGCAGCCATCCCATTTCGCCCGAGCGCGAGTTGGTGCCGGAAAGCGACGGCGCCAAAGAGGGAGGCAGCCCCGGCGAGAGGGAGGTAGATCCAGTGAGAGGAGCGGCAGATCCGACCATGGTTGACCCGAATCCGACCATCCGGCCGGCCGACTCACTCTCAAGGGAGCTGAAGAAGGACGGCGACCCTGGAGAGGGGGCCCAGATCCGGCGATGGAGAGGCCAGATGCAGTCTTAGGGTGCCGGGATCCGGCCCTCCGGCCGGCCGGCTCGCCGGAGGAGCTCGAAGAAGAGGAATGGTGGTGGAGGAGTGGGGGTGAGGGAGCGGGAATGGGGGAAGGATGGGGCTGTTACGGGAGCCTTTTTTCGGGCCGCCGCACGCTGATGGGCGGCGGCGGCAGCTAGGGAGGGGGATGGCGGGTTGCTGGAGCGCTGGCGGCTAGGCACCCCCCGAGTCGCACATTGGGAGCGCTGGGGGGAGGGGAGAATCTGGTTGGTGGACTCAAGAGTCACTGCGAACACAGCTGTCCTTCTGCTTCCAAAATGGCGTATAAATAGACTATTGTGCCTCATATGTTTGATCGATAAGTAAGACACAAGTAGGGTGGTTCTAGGCACAATATTTGCAGTCATGAGATTTCATACATATTGTCCTAAACTAGTGTCATGGGGGTGGGATGCATCTGGAGTTCTAGGTGCAACAAAGACAGGGCTGAAGGAGTGCTGTACGGTGTAGTGGCTACGATCTGTAGCGCGAGCAGCTCGGCAGTCATGATGTAGGTGGACGTGGATCATAGGAATCTGGCTGACAGGTGCTGGCCACCAGCGAGTGCTTAGTCGAGTCGTGGCGCGTGTCCAGGATTCGGAAGAGACCAGTCTGTTTGCATGGACGCTGGCGTACATCATTGGTTGACTGCTCCTGGTTCTCCAGCTTCGTGCTGGACATTTGCTGGAAGTTGTTAGCATCTAGATGTGTTAGCTGCAGCAATTTGTGCACGTTATACTAATAAAATAATCTAGCATAGCCAGGAAGTTTAGTAGTTCTGTGTGTGTTGTGCGTGTGATCTGACAGCCCGTTGTTTTATGCTGGGCAAAAAGAAAGGAGCATGAAGAGCGAAACAAACATACCCATAATTATAAAAAAATCAAGATATAATACCACGAAAATCAAGGCCATGAAATAGAAAATTTGACTAATTAGGATGAAACCGTAATCAGGAATAATAAACGTTTTGTCCCCTCTCTGATCAGCAAACAATAGATTTTCAGTTTAATCATTGTTGCATTGACAATTTCATAGAAGAATTATATAATCATTTATAACATTTTCCAAACATTGGAAGCACTGGTTATATAGGAAATGTTCTTGGATCTGGCCCTACCTTTTATATACTATAAAAAATCAATTTAGGAAATGATGTATTTTATTTAAAGAGGGTAGCCTTAAATTTGCCTCTTTCACATGAAAGAACCGCAGATAAGAGACACAGATAAATTGTCATCAGTGTCTCTGATGTGAAATCAAGTTTCAGAGGCGGGCTTATGTAACTAATTACCAAATTTTAGATACCGAAGAAGGTCTTCTATATAGTCACAGTGACAATGTAGAATGGTGGTAAGGAGGGGTTAATTACATGGGCATCAGGTCACGCAGTTTGAATCCTGGAGAATGCATGCACACTTATAGGTATTTTGTCTCGTCTCTGATCAGCAGATAAAATAGATTTTCAGTTTAATCATTGTTGCATTGACAATTTTATAGAAGAATTATATAATCATTTATACCATTTTCTATACATTGGAAGCACTGGTTAATAAGAAATGTTCTTGGATCCTGTTGGGACAAAGATATATGAGCCGTGGAGGCTGAGCACCACCCTAACCAAAAAACTAATGCTTGGGATTGTTTAACTGCCAATTTGCAGGGGCCCTGAGAAGAGCCTTCACCCGCACACCCCGATCTGGCAAAGGCCTGAGGGCGACGGCGAAGGCTCCCAAGAGCAGCAGGCCAAAATGCAAGGAACGTGGCGGAGGCGACAAAACGGCGGCGGAGGTCCCTGGTGGCCCAGGCATGGAACGAGGCGACGGCGGAGGTCCCTTGGGAAGAGGCCTTGAGATCAAGAGAAGCCTCCGCTAGCTGAAGAAGAAGCCTCCGGAGGCTCTTTGGCTCCAGAAGGCAAATGGTCTGCCAGAATGCCTGTAGCTAAGGCCCATGAAGCAAAGGAGGTGGAGATAGAGGAGACCGAAGATGCCCTTGATAGATTGTATCTAGATCGGAATATTCATAAGTATATGCCTTAATTAGCTGTCAAAGGGGAAAGGTGTAAAGGAACACCCTAGTGAATAGTGCCCTATAAAAGGGAAAACCAAACCCCATGTAAGGAGAGAGGTTGGTGGATGCATTTATGAAACCCTAATTGCCTTGGTCGCACTTATAGTCCTGTCATTCAGATCCGAGCCTTCACCCGAGCTGAGGCTCTACCCTGATATCTTCCTGACGGGAATCATTTTCCCAACAGATCCGGGCCTAGCTTTTTTACCATAAAAATCGATTTAGGAAATGCTGTATTTTATTTACAGACGGGAGCCTTTAAATTTGCACCTTTCATGTCATAACCGCAAATTAGAGACGCAGATAAACTGTCATCAGAGACGCTCGAAAACCATGTCACCAATATTATGTCTCTGATGCGAAACCCTGTTTCAGAGGCGGGCTTATGTAAATAGTTACCACTCGCAAAATAAAGTAAATAATTACCGAATTAGAGATTATTTGAGATACAAAAGAATGTCTTCTATATAGTCACAGTGATTATGTAAAATGGTGGTAAGGACGGGTTAATTACCTGAGAACTGAGGTTACGAAGTTTGAATCCTCAAGAATGCATGCACACTTATAGGTATTTTGTGCAAAAATCATGTGGCTTGTGACCGTGATGCTTAGCTAGTAGATATGCTTCTCCAAGGATTGAAAGAAGTTGCTACCTGTCTCTGCTATGGCCAAATTATTTAAAGATGTGAGCTGCTTAAGCTGGTCGCCTCTATAAATAATTTCATAGAGCGAGGCAGAGGTGGTTCCTTTGCGGCGTTTGTAATGGGTATTTGTACAGGCCAATTGGCAAAGGAGGACAATAAAAACTGCCTCTATAAATCACTTCTGATCGTCTCTATAAATCTTTTTTGCAGTAGCGTTAATTACATATGCTCCCTCTATTTATTCACTGGCCACTATACTATGCGCTGCATCACCCATGATAATGAAAACAACTAGGAGGTTTTGACTTGGATGGAATGCCTGATAATTGACTGAAAATCCTCATTCAGTGCAACATTTTCTGAAATTCATCTCTATAAAGCAGCTTTATGCACCAGTGTTCATCATCTGCATGTTGGAGATTGTGACAGCATTGAAATCAGATAATCTTTAGTCAGGTTCGTCCAGCATTTTTGGAGTTGTTAGCTTTACAAAGACCCTATAAATTCTTCTTTTCTTAACTTCAGGTACCACGTACTACCGGATTCAGCTTCTTTGCCGAGTGCCTCAGGCACTCGGCAAAGGCCGATATACACTCGGCAAAGCCTTTGCCGAGTGTTACACTCGGCAAAGGGCGCTCGGTAAACAGTTTATCGGTAAAGACCTCTTTGCCGAGTACACTTTATCGGGCACTCGACAAAGCCTTTGCCGAGTGCTAATCTGACACTCAGCAAAGAAAAGTCGCCGTGACGGCGAGCACCACCGTGACGGCGGCTTTGCCGAATATTAATGTCAAGCACTCAACAAAGGTCGCCTCTTTGCCGAGCGCCATTGACTCAAACACTCGGCAAAGATGGCCACTGTGCCGAGTGCCACCGGCTAGACACTCGGCAAACAGGCGACCTTTGCTGAGTGCCTGGCTTGTGGCACTCGGCAAATATGTGATGTTTGCCGAGTGCAATGGCCTTTGCACTCGGCAAAGCATGTTCCCAGGCATGTTCTCAGGTCGTCACTTTGCCAAGTGTCATGGCCATTGCACTCGGCAAAGTGACTGAAAACAATCTTTTTTATTTGTTTTTTACATCCCATCCAAACAAACAGAAAATATATATAACAAACATCACCAACATCACATATATATCATCAACAGCACATATATATCACCAACACCACATATATATCATAAACGTCACATATATATCACAAACGTCACATGTCTCACAATATATCACAAATAAGTTCACAAGTAATCCAAGTGCTCCATCATCTACAACCACAATTGCAAATAGCGAAGGTGGCGGAACTACACCCATAGCGGCGCCAAGACTTTGCATGTACTGAAGAATCTCCGTCATCCTACGCTGCTCGGCTAACGCACTATCCTTAGATCCTTACATCTTTTGGGTCAAGAAGGTTAATACGAGACTGATCTGAAGGAGCAGACTTGGACATCTGTCACCAAAACAGAAGTCAGCACAGTACATGTATAGAGCACAGTAATCAGGTAAGTAGAAAAATATGAACCAGCTCAGAACATAATTCAAAAATTAAATGCATATCTAGCAGTATTGTTAATCACCTTGGAGAGACCATCAGTTAGGGACATAACACGAGCCCCTGCTGGAGGAATAAGAGCTTCAGGAACCTAAACAATCAAACCAGAAGCCAGAAGGTACTCTAATCTAAGTATAGCATAGATAACTTAGAAGGATGTGAAATTGTGTATATGCATGACATTTTGCACACCTTAAATAGCAAACCCCCTCTCCTGCCAAGCAAAAAATATAAATGAGTTGTCATGAAAAGACAAACTACTACTGGAACTGCAAAAGGCGGGACAAAAAAATTTATCTCACCCTCCCAATTTCTTCCACTTTCTTCCACCATAAAGATTATTTACACGCTCAGCTATTTCACGAGTTAATTCCAAATGTTGTGTTTGATCTTCACCAACAGGTACCAGATCGGACTGCGATCATTCAAGTAAGCCATTGTTCATATTGAGGTGAGAAAAACAAGGGAATAAATACAGCTGAATTGAAATGTTGCATTCATGCTACCTAAATGAGCTGTTAATAATTCACCTGGTACAAAAGGATGTCAGAAGCCATTAGAACAGGATAAGTCAAAAGTGCAACCCCAACATTTTCATCACCCTGATAAAAAAAAGCATCAGTAGTACTATTATAGTCAACCTTAAAAATCTGGAATATTTTTAACACCATAATGTAAGGCATTGAGGGATTTTGCAAGAATGGAATCTGACTCCACCTTATCACTACATATGGAATTAATGCTTCAGTAAAATAGTAGGGCTAGAACTAACAGCTTTAAATTCTTCTTTTCTTAACTTCAGGTATACAGTATGAAAGTTCCATTTTCATAATTTTGTGAGAGTGACAAAATCAAACTGTGTTGATAGTTGAGATGCCAAAAGTTAGACAGTTTTGAGGAACCAAAGTTAGACATTTTATATAGTTGCTGAGCAAAATTAGACAAAGGTAAGAATTGAGGGGCAAAAAATGGACTTAATCCTTACTTATTTGTGCAGACATAGCGCAGACCCCAAATATATCATGAACCATTAAAACAGTTCTTTTCATTTGGGGATTAAAAATTCTGTTTTGTTGGTGGCAGGAGAAGCAAACCAGAAACCACGCACATCGCAGTGACACTCTCCGGCCAAGGAACATTTTTTGTGCCCATGCATGCATCGCAGTATTATATGAAACTCTATATAAATCTATTATTTGTGCCTGGTTTGTCAGTATTAGTACGTATGTAGATATAGCCTGAAAAATTAAAAACTGTTTTATGAAATACTTATTTGAAACAACATGGCCTGTATTCATTCGGGTTCTACCACACACTTGGCGGCACTCTAAGGAACATTTATCGTGGCCATGTACCAGAGTACAAAACTATATATATACACGCCAAGATTTGCGCCTGCCTGGTTAGCATTATATTAGCATGTATCTACAAATAGACTGAAACATCAGAATTGGTTGGTGAAGACCTTATGGGCTACAGAGCCAAGGTGGTTTGTTCATCGATCCTGCTTCTACACAGATATATAAATATATAAACTATGTGCTTCCCATGTCCGAATTGCATCAATCAGTTACTTACAATCAAGCGTTATGTCGTAATATTTGTTGTTGGAAATCGCGTTGCATACATAAAGACCTAAATTATTGTATTATGGGAATGGGATGCATCCACATCTGGAGTTACATTCTTGAGTTCCAGTGCCTAAGGATGGAATAAATTTGATGTCACCAGAGCAGTCGCTAAGCACAACACCTTACAAGCAAAACATTGAAGAAAAACTTTTGAAATTTTCTTAGTAGGAAAACCTTGCACATTGCAAGCTACAACTGTGTTCTCTGCGCACTGGCAACAATGTTGGAAACTTTATCTCACTACTGGATTCAGGTTCTTTGCCGAGTGCCTGAGGCACTCAGCAAAGGCCAAATTGCACTTGGCAAAGAACACACGGCAAAAAATTGATCGGCAAAAACCTCTTTGCCGAGTGTCTTTTATCGGGCACTCGGCAAAAGCTTTGCCGAGAGCCCCAGGGGCACTCGGCAAAGAAAAGCGACCGTCACGGCGTCGGCCCCGTTGACGGTGGCTTTGCCGAGTGCCAACCCTGCAGGCACTCGGCAAATTTTTTTATTTTTTTAAAAAAATTCTTTGCCGAGTGCCCGCTGGCCCAGCGCTCGGCAAAGTTTGAATTTTTTTTAAAAAAATCTTTGCCGAGTGCCCTCTTGTCGGCACTCGGCAAAGTTTGAATTTTTTTTTAAAAAAATTCTTTGCCGAGTGCCCTCTGGCCGACACTCGGCAAAGTTTGATTTTTTTTAAAAAATTCTTTGCCGAGTGCCCTCTGGCTGGCACTTGGCAAAGTTTGATTTTTTTTTAAAAAAATTCTTTGCCAAGTGCCCTCTGGTCGGCACTCGGCAAAGTTTGAATTTTTTAAAAAAAAATCTTTGCCGAGTGCCCTGTATCCGGCACTCGGCAAAGATGTTTTATTTTTTTTCTAAAAATTCTTTGCCGAGTGCCCCCTGCCCGGCGCTCGGCAAAGTTTGAATTTTTTTTAAAAAAAATTCTTTGCCGAATGCCCTCTGGCCAGCACTCGGCAAAGTTTGAATTTTTTTTAAAAAAAAAAATCTTTGCCGAGTGTCATGGTATTTTGCCGAAAATGAAAATGGCACTAATGAGAAATATGTCCGTCCGTCTCATGTCTTTATTTTGCCGAAAATGAAAATGGCACTAATGAGCTAGATAAATATCTGCTCATCTATGTTTGTTGCAGCTGCAAAACTACCAAATAGACATGAAATGCATAAATCATAGAGGCAGCAAGTGGACAGTAGTAGATTTTCTAAAGCATGATAATGACATTAAAGTTAACCAGGATACCAGAAATTAGGGAATAATAAAGTCCACACTTTTCTCTAATGGGGTAATGTAGCTCATACTTTTCTCTAAAATAAAGTCCAGTCACACAGGGTAACAACAGGTAGACCAAAAGAACAAATGCACTAATACCTTTCTTAATTTGAAGTTCGTGTCCAACAATTTGCTGAAGTATATTTGTTTTGGAATGCAGTAATTTTGCATTGGACAACAATTCTGTGAAGGCCCATTCGATAAGAAATTCAGAAAAACATGCAACCCGAGATATTTTACCATAAACGGCAGAAGGGAGTACGGGAGCCCAACCTAGCAGACATAGCACCTCATAATCATGTGCCAAACTATTATAGAAAGTAAAATGCAGTCACACCTTTGAACACCCTCAATCTTCTTTCTTTCTCTTAGTCAGGACACAAATGAATTTATCAACCTGGCAAACTATATTGGTTGCCTCCACAACTATATATGAAGCAACATGATCTGTGAATGGTTTCTATTTGAACTGCCACTGTATCTATACTGTAAAAAGCACATTGGAGGAACAAGGAAAAATAGATCAATGTAGCCTAACAGTGTGGCTAGGCAAGGCAGGCCCAAAATTACCTATGCTATCAATTGCGACAGTGCCAAAAACAATTGGTGGAAAAAAAATAAAATCTGCTTAAACAAGAGCAGCAGACTAATGGTACCTCTAAGATAATTTACTCACCCAAATTAGTTCTATGACCCTAAATAAGGGCGTTAACCTAGAGAAGCTAAACTTCGCGTTGGATGAGAGGGGCTAGAGATTTGGGCAACAGCTAAACTTCACACTGGACATGGGAACTCGCTAAACCACTGACACATCAAACTGTATGTATGAGGTGCTAAAAAATAAGAAATATATGGACGGGACAATGTAAAGGGAGTACCTAGGAGATATAAAAAGGAAAATGGTGGTAGTATTTTTTTTGGGTTACATAATCCATCCTAATTAATCATCAACATTTGTGAATAAACCATAGTACTCAAATCATATGTAATTAACAATAGCACATAGATACATAGGAAGATCAGGAATACAACATACTGAGATATGCACCAAAGTCTTGGGACAGATCAGATTGTTTTGTGCAAAAGTAAAAGTCGATCTAATTGATGATCAATGTCCTTACCTTGTTGATCTTGAAGCATCCAAAGAGTTGTATACAACGTTGGTCTTCCCTTTAGTACCTAATACAAGACACTGCACGAGATAATACTGCAATAAAATAAGGGACGAAGCTACAGCAATCCGGAAACATGTAATGTAGAGTTATAATTAAGTATTTTCAGCTCAACCGAATTTTAAGTATAGACTACATGTAAATAAATAAAAAAAGCAATGTTCAGGTTAGGTACTATTGACTATACCATCATATATGCAAATACAAATAAAACATCTTGGTGGCTATGTACATCTCAAGGGAACTTCACAGGTCATCACTCACAACTGACGAGAACCAAACCACCAAAAGTATGCCATTTCTTTAACAGACTAAACTCGCCTAGATTAAAAGGACAATAATCCAACCTGACCAATCTAACCTTTAAACGACAGGAAGGGTGGTAAGATTAACAAATGGCAGAGGTCTGCCCAGTCTTGCACTCTGTTTTAGTGGTTATAGAAAGAACTTTTCCGATCCACATATGTCTTGTGTGATGAGATTAAACAGATAAATGTCAAAAATAGGTACGAAAGAAATGGATCTCGGGGTAAAAAATAGCCAGGACATGGATAGTAACGTCTCCATCACAAATGGAACCTCTCTATTATTTTGCAGATAGAAAATACGGATTTCTGGCCACCACGATTATCAAAGGCCGGCACAGATAAAGCATCCAGCACAGGCAAGGTAGCCAAGAACAGCACTATCCACCAACCAAATTTTACAAGCAAACCGCACCACGAAATGCACATGTAGTGGGTACCAATGATCCTTGGTGCCGCACAGAATCAAGCACAAATCCACCAATCAATGCATGAGGTAGAGATTCAGTTCATGTGAAAATAAACATAAACGGGGGAGACCAAGCGATTATACCTCTCCTGAATGAAGAACAGAAATCCAAGGAAAGATCCTCCCTTCCTAATAATCTATGCAGGCTTCGCGTCTGCTGTCCTTTTCCTGTCGTTTAAGATCTCTGGTGTTCGGTCTGTGTAGCACACAAGATATCTCAGTTTATATATCTATGAAAATTATATGTGGCCAATCATGTTGTATTTGGTCCGAAAATAATTTTTTTGATATAATATTGGAAGGACTGTTTTTGTGGGAAAAATTGTTCAATGGCCTATCAACATAGCTCATAGTTCACAGGAAATGCTGGCAGGTATGAGCTGCGCTATGTGGCCTCATATGTCAAATAGATAGCAGAACCTAAAGATTCACAGTACAAAAAGTTGATTTTAAAATTGTCTAGTGTGAAGTATCTAGCATACTGCACACACTAATTAATCACAGAATGTTTGTAAGCCAAGCAATGACATTCATCAATGCACGTAACTGGCTGGGTCGAACTGCACTCGCATCATCAGCCATGGCACAAGAGGA